TGCACATGGATTTCGGAACATCTCTGAACAAATAGGATATAAATGAACTAATTGTTCCCCTCGATGATTAAGAATACACCAAAATTCAAGAACGATATAATTAAGTTCTAAATAATACATCTCAGATACGTCGGCTTCAGCAACGGAACCCGATGTGGAGAAAGAAGATTTGAGAAACATTAATATCCTGTTCGAGTCAAATATAATAATCTGAACCATTTGATATCACACGACGTGGGAACTTCCGAGTGATGAGAAAAACAAACGGAAAACCTCGCTGAAACAATTGTTTTACATGAAATTGTTTCAAACTATTGTGTAATTGTAATAAGCGCTTTGAACCAAGGTCCTGAAAGAGTTGAGGTAATGACAGATTCGAGACCAGTTTAAACAAAATAACAGAGCGTTACATTGAAATAACACCATACTTTATTCCCTGATAATGACTTTTAGCAGTCCGACGTCACGCGCAAGTACGTATGTCCACCTCCTATTATGTAAACGTATAGTATTACAATATTTTGTTACAGCATTTTACAACTTTTAATTTTTCTTTTTTGTAAACCTAGTGTCTACATATTATTATAATTTTATAAGATATCTATATAAATAATAGCAGATATTTTAAAACAGGATTTTAATTTCTTTACTTATATTGAAAAAATATATTGAATATAAGAATTAAAGAAAAGGCGAAATCGAATAAAAAGATATAGCGAACTACCACCAGTGCCAGAAATTTAAATATGAATTTTAATCAATTAAAATATTACAAAGTGGAAATAGTGTATTATAAAAAATTTTTACAAGTTATAAAAAAAAAAAAAAAATAAAAAAAATAAAATCAAACAACTATACAAATTCAGAAAATATTATTAATATTCACACCGAAGTAATTAATAAAATACGATGAAAATGATATTAATTATTTTTGGGAGAACTTTAAAACTCGGACCATCAATTGGATACAGCTATTCGCCAACATTTCATAATACTGAGTTTAGGAGTTCATGTTGAAACATCTAGAAGATAATAAAACATTCAAAAAAAAAAAAAAAAAAAAAAAATGGAAATTTTTACTTTTATATAGTTGAATTTCAAAACAGAAATAAATATAGATAGAAAATAAATAATAGAAATATGTTAAGTAAAATGAGAGATAATAACAGGATTATATCAAGAGGATCCAGTGCAACCAACAGACGATTGGTGATTCAATTTATGAATGAAGAATCCTCCTGTATTCCATAAATGGTTTCCATCTAGTTCGTTTTCCACCTCCTTTGTTCGGTTTCAATTCCGTTCATAGTTAAACCATTTAAGTTATAAGCTGAAATATTTCGGCTGTTGGATTATAGCCACGATTGCAAAAATAATAATATGGGTATTACACATAAATTTATTTATGAAGAAAGATATATAATATTTATTTATGTCAATGGTAATTTAAATGGTAAAAAGTAGCGAACCTTCCAATGGACTTTGGAAACTGATAGGACATACAACCTCTGAAGACCACCTCCCATGCCTTGCCCCTGAAACTGACCGATTATGAGTCGCGTCACAGCTGTATCATTAGAGCACTCGTCATCAGCCGGCTTCGGGGGATAAATCCGCGGACCACCGTGACGTTCCAGGAGGATTAGCCTGCCTGGAAATTATTATCCAGCGAGGACAGAACATAAACCATTTAGCGACTGCTGGCTAGAACCCTCCCTGAATAAAACCCAGCGTACAATGAGAGCTAGCCGCGGTGGTAAATATTAAACAGAGGAGGCAGAGAATGGTTGTGGGTAATTGAATCGCCCGCAACGGCAACGTTACATTTGACAGCACCTAGCGTATTAATGACCCCCTCTCTTTCTAATAATTCAGAATTAATGTACCAAATATCATTGGGAGCGTTGGTATCGTCCGTTATAATTAGCGACTACAAATCAAAGGCGAGGAGCCCTCAACGGGACACAATTGCATGTGTTCAATCATCTGCCCGTTCTGATCTATCGTTCCCAATATCAGCTCTTTTTTCATATCACTGTCCGAGTCAGTATAATTTTTTATTTCTCCCTCTTCCTTCCGAACGTTGACGGATTTTTCGATTTGGGTTCGGAACCCAGATACAAAAGCTGCTAACTCATGCTATGGAGCATATTCACGGGAGGAATGTACAGTTCATATGGGGATGATTCCATCGGGTTTAGAGTGATTACTAAAATTATAATAATACAAAAGACTCGAACCCTTTTTCAGATTTTCAGATTGATGAAAGTAAATTTTCTACAATATACATACATACATACATATATATATATATATATATATATATATATATATATATATATATATATATATATATATAATTTTTCTTTTAAAAAATAAGACGTATACTGATAAACTGATTAGATCAACACGAATATATAAAATAAACGATAATAATAGAATTATCGGACATGATAATACGAACATGCTAGTATCAGTATTCCATCAAAGTTTAAGATAAATTCCAAAACTTGGTATTATTTTAAAAGTAATACATTTTTTTTTTAAAATCAAAATCAAGACCTGTTAGAATTATTGTTTTTAAGCGAAAACGAATTCCTTTAAGATTCTGTATGAAAGAAATAAAATATCAATAGTATTGAACTGGATTGTATAAAATAATTAATTTAAGAAAATTACGAGACTTAAATTTCAAAAGTTAACATAATCTTTAATATCAATGCATATTTTAAAATCAACTTGAGGTAAAATATGATATTTAGAATTTAAATTATTTTCCCAATTGAACATGAGTTAAGTACGCCTAAATTTAAACAATAGTTAGGAGATAAACTCTATAGATATTTACTAAAGTACACATTGTAATAATGAAGATGGGTCATAAAGAAATATTAACTCTACTATTGTCGAATGGACTAGGTGTAGATTAGACTTATCTAGCCTCGAGTAAACTTATCAGCGTGCTTAGAGATAAGGTGCCCCGACACAACACTAATAGAACAGCCAGGGCATTCAATTAGAATGATGGGACGCCCTTCCTAGCCTCAACGTCCTGTACAACTTTCTATAAGTATATTTAATTACAATATATTATATTAAAATATAATTCGAGGTTGATACAATAATAATAATACAAATAAAATAAAATAATCAACACAAAATTAATTTATATATATATATATATATATATATATATATAATATTTCCACTTTATTAATATAAAACTTTATAAAATTCCAAAAAAGTTATACTCAAAATAGAACATATAATGTTTGCAGTTATTTCTTCAGGAGTAGAAACTTTACCCAAGTAATTAAATTAAAAATAATCAATTTTAGAGAGCAATTAAATTTCTTTTAACTATTCATTTTATTTTACGAAATTTCGGTGTTACGTTAAACTAACACGTGAGTAAAGTATTGTTCTCCTATGCTTAAGGTACCAAGTTCGAGTCCAGCTATGACAAGTAATTATTTATTTATTCTACTGATATAGTTATGGATCAACCAGACTTTCCCGGGAGACCCTCTTGTGTCTCACTCAGTCTCAATGGGTACTCTTAAGTAAATAATTCATTTAAAGGAATTAGGCGGCGCTTGAGCGCGATATGGGTCAAATCATACTTCCGTTTTTCCGTTTCGATATAATTTTTTTATGTAATACTTACATTAAAATAATGTAAAGTATTATTAATAATCATTGTTAAAGTTAAATAACAAAGAATCGATAATTTATTCCCAGTAGAAAACATATGATTCGGTACAAATTCAATTAATTTCGAAATATATGGAATGATTACATTTAATAACTTTTTTCCTATTTTTTTTTTAATCAAAATCATCCCAACTGAGTCTATATAAGTCTCAATTAAAATATTGAATTTAATTTTTTTTTTTACCTAAGTAACCTAATTTGTTCCGATAGTCAAATCAATAAAGCCGTTAATTTTTATTTCAGGATAAAATACAAATGCCTTGATCATTTAAAAAACCCAGCAGTTTAATATGTTTGAACTGCTTCAACAAATATTTATTTTATTTCCCAACATTCTATTAATATATCTGTGTAAGAAAATATAACTTTTTTTTAAACATTCATCATGAGGAATATGAGTGTACAACAAAATCTCGAAGTGGAAGAAAGCGCTCTTTCTTTCCTATGTACCTCAGGAGGAGCTAAGACGTAGACGGGACTATAACAGACTACCCCCTCAGATATTTGTTGGGAGGAAAAGGGCCGAAGGGGAAACACGCCGCCGATTTATTGGGTCTGTCGTTTTCATTTCAATAAATAACTCAATTACTTAGCTGTGACGTGGACGACGTTCCAAATTGCTTTGTGTCCTCCAAACTGAGTTACAAATATAAAACGTTTCCAGCTCTGTTAACCGAATTATCTGAATAGAGCCTTAACGAGTCCCTGGGACAGGCCGGGGCAGTATTAATATAATGTCGCTCCGCGGCTGCTTCGCCAACCAGATTAGTCATTTATTTGTCAAGAATATGGCGTCATGGCCAGTGATTGCCATAATAATTTCGGATATAATATACAAAAACATTGGAGTAAACTAGGTGTATAAATGTATGTCTAAGCTTAAACACAATTTTAACTCAACACAAAATTTGAAATTTAAGCAGGATTCTAAATTCCTTAACGTCCAATTTAAATGAGCAAATGATGAAAAATGGTCAGGATGTGCGGTCAAAAAGTCATGTTTATTGAATTTGCCAACGTTTCGATCCAAACATGTGGCTCATCTGCAGGGGTAAAAACTAAGTAATAATGTAAGTAATGAAAAGTAAAAAATAACATAAGAACAATGTAAAAGTATGAGAGAAGAAAAAGGTGGTTCTTACAAATGAGATAACTATTATTTAAACACAACGATATTAAAAACATTACAATATGCCAAAGAAATATTATTGTGTTTTATGACTGCATATCCTGACCATTTTTCATCCTTACAATTTTAGCAGTCAACAATGTACCCATCTTCATTATTAATCCTTCTCAAACAAACTCACTTGAACAGATCCCCAGCAGATTTTTCAAAAAGAGAACTCACCTGAAACAAAAAAATAAATAAATTAATAAAAATCAATAAATAAGTATTGTAAGTTTAAGGCAAATATATAATCCTAAAAAAAAAAAAAAAAAAAAAAAAAAAAAAAAAAAAAAAAAAAAAAAAAACAGCTACTATTTTCACTGTTGAAAGAAGCCTAAAAATTACTGATAAGTTAGGTACTACACCAAGATCTGGAACGATGTACAAAGAAAACATGTTTCTATAATAGGTTACCTCGTCCAGAAAACTGAATATATTTTATTGTATTAGTCATTATTATGATGAATATGAAAACCTGAGAGTTGATAAAATAAAGGAAAGAATGACTAAATTTACTTATAAATAAATGAACAATAAAAGGGACCGGATAAAATGCAAAATAACAGCTACTATGTGCAAAAATTTATGAATTCCTTTTCTGATATTAAGGTATAATATGATATAATGGATATTGAATGATTACTTTTTCTTTCTTTTTTTTTTTTTTTTTTTTGCAGATATACCAACTATTTGATAAATAGTGAAACATCAACGTCTCTATTTTTCTCAAAATAGTCGTGTTCGATATACTTCTGGTCAGATGTCATTAAGAGAATTTAAAAAAAAAAATATTAAACTATTCGCTATTTTTTTTTATTATAAAAATTCTAATGGACCAGTTAGCGTTTTTCAAAAACTATTTTGCAGATTGGAAATTTATTGTTCCATTTCAGTACTCTTCTAGTCTATTCTCATACCCCTCTTACATCGAAATACTACCTAATTTATTGTAATTTATAATTTAAATACGAAAATGTGCTCCAGTGTGTAGACAAAAATGTAAATTAAATTTGGTGCATTTGACCATAAGGTCAACTAAATATGTTTACCCTTTTACAAGAAAGGGGAGGAGTGCTGCCCTCGAAGGTACTCTTTTTCTTCTTCGACTGGAACATTGAAGAATCATTGGATTTGCACCCCTTCTTGCTATTTCTTCCCTCATTCCTTCGGAATACTCGGACATTTTTTCTTCAGGATCGTAATCCCTAACCGAAATGGTCCATGTTGATTAGACCTAGAGCCGGAGGTGGATGTAGATATAGGACATAGGACCTAATAACCGGCCGGCGAGCGGATAGTGTGTGAATAGGATTTGATTAGTGTGCGCTAGAAGCGTTGGGAGCGCAGCGTTGCAAGCGGTGACGTTGGAAGCTGTTTGCGCATCACAAACAAAGCGCCTGATTGGGGATAGATCCACTGTGATAACAGATGGGAGAAACCTTGCCCAAATAGACACATCAGCCTGCCTTACATTAACAGGGCCATCTGTTTCTATTGCTTCTCGTCCTCTCTGCCACGGCAAGGTAAATTCCACAACCTCTACGTTCCATTTACAAACAAAACCACTTCTACCCCCTCTCAACCGAATATGTTCTATGTCGCCTCTCAGTACTCTTCTAGTCTATTCTCATACCCCTCTTCCCTCGAAATACTACTTAATTTATAAACTGTCCCTGAATCCTGTAAATTATGTTAAAAAAAAAAATTATAAAAATTAAAAAAAATATATATTTTTTAAGTCAGAAAAACACTACTCCTCTTTTTACTGTCAGATTTATATTATCTTTTGGAGCTATCGGTGCTCTGCACCATATTCATCTAAAAAAAATGCTATAAACAGAGTACATATATGAGACTTTAAAAAGAAAGGTGTTTTTTCTTACTTTAATTATAATCGCAGAGTCTACCTATTAAACATAATCTTTTTATTTTATTTTTTTATGAGACTTTACCCTTTTACGAGAAATTTAGTTGATGAATTTATTTATTTTTTATTTTTTACCTACATTATTCATGTTTCTCATACCTTCTTATCCGGTTCTTTTCTTATTTCTGATGAAGGCCTGAACTTCAGGTCGAAAAGTCGGCACATGTTAAAATAAATATTATTATTTATTTTGCCTTCTTATTTCTGAATGAGCACCTCAACCATCCTGCTCTTCATTTGTTTTTTGTAGTTTGATGTAAGATAGATTCAAGCACATTTCTCTTAGAATACTAACCTAATTACTTCTTTTTTTAGTTGGGAAGTTTATGTATTAAAAGTTTGGCAATGAAAAACTACCATTATAGTTTGTTTTTGTTATATTTCATATCATCTTGCTGACGTTTCGGGATTTTATCCCATCCTCATAAATTTATTCATTGATTTCAATGAAAAAAATACCTTTGAGGATTGGATAAAATCCCAAAATGTCAGAAAGATGGCGTAGTTTTTCATTGCCAGCCTTTAATAAACTAATTGGTGTCGTTATGGATTGAAATTTGCATTTCTTCGTAAATAAAGCAAATTTGCAATAGGTATATTTTATTCCAATAATGACCAATATTATCAAATATCAGATTATTTTGTTTTCTTTAATTGTGTCATACTATCTCTCTCTCAATTTTTATTTAATCGCCTATAAATATGAGTTTTAAGTAAAAACATTGGATTAAAAATTTATACCATTCGAACTAATGGTAATTCAGCATTTTACTGAACAAGGCTGATCTAACGCATACCTTTCTAAATCTGATAATACATCATAACTTCATTGCATTATATGAAGAATTATGACAGATAGATTAAAAAAAAAATAAAAATTATCTTATTTTGTTACAGCTTCATGTTGACCTAATATATTTTAGAGCAAATGAATTTCATTTCTTATAGGTTTGTGTATATAAAAATAACAAAAATAAAACAAAAAAGTAACAAAAAAATATAAAACATTAAATTGCTTTTTTCCTTGGTATATGTCACCTACCTCAACGAATCACATCTTTAATTATCTATGAAAATGAGTTAGACCTATAAACATTGGATTAAAAATTCTATACCATCTAAACTTGTGGTAATATTTTTAACAATTTTACGAACTGAAGTTAAAGGCAACACATCTTTTTTCTTAATTCGATTTTAAACCAGGGAGAATATTTTTTTTTTGCTTTGATTAAAACATTGTTTTGTTTTTTTTAGTTTATACCTTATGCCTTTTTTTTTTTTATGCATAATGTATTTTCCTCCGAATGAATCATTATAAAGAACGTCATTATGAATATTGACTTAATAAATCTATAAAAAAAAAAAAAAAGTTTATCAATTTCGTAAGGTATACTAAATGTGCTAAAAAGTAACAACAACAACAAAAAAAACTCACGATTTATAATGTAAAGGCCTAATATTCAGAGGAAAAATCAAATCAATGCAAATTGAATATTTCCTTGAGGGAATCGCCAATAGGCAACTTTATCTACATGGAAATTGTTCCGGGATGAGAATATCGCTTATCACCATACAAACTAAATTTTAAGGTTTCTTCCATATTTAAAATTGTAATCTTGGATGAATATGAAATCGCGAACGGCTGACCCAACCGAGGGGGGAGAGAGACAATTTAAAACATTCCCAAGAAGGAATATATGAAAAAGTAAAATAAAAATTTACACTTTAATACATACTTAATACTTTTTTCCTGAGTAGTCTGGGAAGGGTGAGTGTCCCTTGAGAAGTCGAGCTCCCTTCCCCCATCGTTAACTAGATCTTCGGAAAGGGATGAATATATTTCAGTTTCGAAAATCAGTTTCAGTGCATTATAAAACTAAATTATTTTTACAATTTTTCCAACTTAAAAAATTTTTAAATCTGGCCTGACATCCTTAATACAGCCCTGACTAATATACCATTATAATATGTTAAGCTAAATATATATATATCTGCTGTAATATATAAACGTCTATAAATAATTTTAAATTTTAAGAGAATTTAATTACAAATTGAGCTAAATGTCAACTAAAACAATGTAAATAAATGAGTTCTACAATTTAAATGAATATATTCGATATTTAAAAAAAAAATGATATTTTTGTTATTTAAAATATAAAAATTACATGACTAGCAGATATAAAAAAAAAAATTGCCAAACTATCACACTAATCTTTTAATTTTTAATAATATTATACCGAAAGTTTATTTGTGCACCAATGAGCTAGGTAGTTGCTTATTCAATGTTCATAAAAACTGAGAATGACTAACACAAGGCATGGGCAGTATTTGAAATAAAATATTTAAAATCCAAATTATAATTAATTTTTGAAAAGTAAAATATAAAATACTGTGATAGTGGATTGATGGTCGACTGTAGTGAAAATTAAAGAGAAATTGGTCGAACTGTTCAGTAAAAAAAAAAAAAAAAGTAAAAATAAATAAATATTCAATAAAAATAAATAATATTTATTTATTTTTTACTGGACACCTCAAACAACTTCTCTTTACTAAAATAATGTGATTGTAATAATATTGTCTTATGAAAATACAAAAGACAAATAATTTACTTTATTTCGTATTTGAAATACACTAGAAAATTAATTAATGAATTAAATCAATTCCTTTCCTTTATATCCTACATAACATAAAAGAGTTAATAAATAAATTAGAAGAAAAAAATATTTGGTATTTAAATGATTGTATTTTAAAAACATATAGTAATTACAATATTTTGGTTTGTAAATACTAATTTTTATTTCATAAAGTTTAAAGTTACAAATAAAAAATTCACATTAACTTAAAAAAAAAAGAAGAAGTACCTTCTAAATCAATTCAAGACATTTAAATAAATACATGACCTATTCCACTATCTTAAACAATTTTGTAATATCTTCATGTTTTATTACTAAATCAATAATTATTTCACAGTTCTTTCGGTAAAGTACTAAAACTCACATTAAACATATAATAATATTAATTGCTTCATAGAATGAAATAAAAAATGAGGAAAAATGAAATAATTCTGTATAAAATATTATCTCTGTGGAAATATTATTATAATTTATATTAAGTAAACGTATAAAAAAAAAAAAGAAACCTAAAACGTGGAGAACGAAATTAAAACCGTTTCCCACAATTTATTAGCTCGTTTCAAAAATAAATAGAAGTCTAATTGTTTTTATTCAATTAACTAAAGGACGATTGTATTTAGGATGAGATGAAGGTTAAAAAAACATAAGAGATAAATAAAAGAAATTATTGCCTCCACAGCGGCACTTTATTGATTTAGTAAAATTCCTTTAAAAAATATTTTTTGTGCGAGTTTTAATCTGATTAACAGTACCGGATCTCAGGATCTTTGTTTTGCAACCAATCGATTCGCAAAAAATAATATTTAGATCCATAAAAGATCTTAAACTATTTATTTATATACAATAATATTCATAAAAAAATAAATATTTTGAAAAGTGAAAACAATGTTAATCATCGAAACCAAAAATAAACATCGAAGAAATGCATAAAAAAAAAGAATTTAAATAATTCACATTATTAATTAACATAAATATTTGTATGTTTATAGTAAACAATGTTTGCTGAATTCATTGCAAGTGTTATAAAATAATTGATACAATTTTATTTAATCCAAATAATTTAATTATGTAAAATTTTTAGTATGACACAATTTTTATTTTTCTTAAAAATTAATTTTTACATTTTTTATCAAAATGGCCGGAACCAAAAAATTAGATATTGTCATTTTTTTAGAATTTAGATCGTTATGATCCTGGATCAGAAAAATATAACATATTTTTATTTTAATAGTACAAACTGAGCTAAGATATGTTAAATGCCATCACGTTACTTCTTAGTATTTAAATTTAGAATGATGTAAGAACAGAGAACAATCTAAAATTGAATAAACAATAAATAACCATTTTGTATGAAAGGTAACAACAAATGCTCTTGTCTGAAAGTTGTTCTTTTATTTAGCAGTGCATGTCTTTACCAAAGATTTTCTTGACAGACATACTTTCAGCATTGTTTATAAAAAAGATCATTAATTAGTCCAGCCGAACTTAAGAATTTAAAAAATTCCATGGATTTTAATTCATGTTATGTAAAAAAAATTAATAACAAAAATGGAGCGAACGAATAATAGTAAACAGCGAACGATACGTTTTATCGAATCGGAATGAAATATATATACGTAGTTT